AGCGAAATCGTTTAGTTACAATCTCTTCGGCTTACATTTGGTGGCGTCGTCGATAGAACCGTGGACTATCGCGACTAACATGGAATTTATCGATATAGGTTTTGTTTTTTTTTTTTCATCTGTACACGCTTACTGAAAGAGAAAAACGGAGCAAAAATACGCCCTATACATTTTTATATATTTATTATTGTACTTGTCGATAACAATAATACCTGCTCGGCATGTGTCATTGACGGGCACGTGTTCCACGGTGTTGTGCTCCCGGTATTTCTCTTTCGATGTACGGCAAATAGGATCGATGAAAAAATATTTAAAAAAAACCACCTTAGCGTGGCAGTTGTTGTTAAGAAAATAATATCTTCTAGATAATTGTTGTCGGTGGCGTCTTGTCGAGATAGGCGTTATATTATTTTTTTGTACACCTGTACAGAAAGAACATACGCGGTCTTACAATAAACGATGGACGAGTGGGAGAGGCGACCGAGCTCATTGCAGCGATGGACGGCGATCCGACACGTGTAATTATAGTGTTATCGAGTCCAAGTGGACTAAAAAAAAAATAATCCAAATACTGGTGTGAAGATAATGAGACTATGGCAGAACACGTGTATAAAATTGTACTATGTGCTAATAATGAAAAGTCAAAACTTTTTGGAAAACTCGCAGAATTACAAAATCTTTTTCACTTAAAAAAATGTATGTTTAAAGTTAAGTAGTTTTTAAAAAATTAAAACAAATTTGACCAAATATTAACACGGTATTATACGCTTTGGCGTCGAAAATACTTTGTACAGTGGAGTTTTTGAGACTTAAGAGTATACAATATATTTTATACCCAAAGGGTCATGGACTCGTCCAGGATTTTCTTTTATTAAGTGAAAAAAAAATGCTCAGCTGGACATCATCCGGCGTATGCTGGTTTCGCGCAGTGCTGACCTCTCTCGAAATTGAATTAAAAAAAAAAAAAAAACGCTGTGCTATCATATAATAATAATTATTAGGATGTGCTCCTCCGACACAACGGCTTAACGTCGGGCGATGGTCTTTCTCAAAAATCACCCCGAGCGTTGTATTTACACGACGGTTCGTCGACCTTACCGGAATACATATACATTGTTTGCTCTTCAGGGACGAATCTGGAACGCCCATTGTTTTGGATGGTACACGTTCTTGAATTTTAGGAATACCTTCACAATATTATATCAGCTACTATCGCGTACACGCACACCCGCACTACTACGATGTAATCGAATGTGTAATAACAATGCAACAGTCCTACATGATAGGTAACTCGTCCTTTGATGAAAAATAATATAACAATATAAATAATAATGTAATATAGCAAAACGGCACACAGTCGCCACTGATCTCACGGAAAAAAATTACAGTTAAACAGAGAGACACAATAAAATGTATTTAGTTATTCCATGTATACGTTTATTGTGTTCTCATATACATATTCTCATATACACGTTCTCATATATTATTATTAAATCATAATTATAGTTGATCCAACTATATTAGATTTTACTCCGTGCTGGAACAAAAATAATACCAAACTTTTAGAAGGCCACCGAATAAGATAATGGCTAATAATGATATGTTGCGTTTGGACTCTTTCGAATTATTTATTTTATTTTTTAAATAAAAACGTTTTTAAGATTTATTTTGTTTTTCTTATCGGTTAGCAAATAAACGTGCCGGAGTAAGAATATGCATATATATATATATATCGGATTTATGCCGGCGTGTTGGCTAGTAATTATATTATATTATGATTCTGGTTAATCGTGATCAGTGGGAGTAATGTAGACGATCTATGAGGTCTCCTAGGTCCTGGGTGCACTAGATTATCGAGCATTCCACAGGACTAAGACAAACCTCGAGCATGGGATTCCACGCACCGCGGGTGACGCATTTGTACCTATTAATATCCATCAGTGCCATGCCAAGCGCGTTGTCGGTCATTTATCAATAACAATATAATACTATTATTATCATGTATAGCAAGAATAATAATAAATCGCTCAAGAGTTGATTTTAGAAGTACGGCCGCGGGTTCACCGTCTTATCCTTAAAGCTGCCGCGGCTCGGTTACGTAACTTCATCTCGACTTAGGCGTGTCGACCACCGCGAGGCCGTTTACCCATTTAGGGTCATGCAGGTGTAGCGGCCGGGCAACGGTAGGAGAGTACACTGTACACACACGGTTATGGTGTATACACAGTAGTTATATTATAGTAATAGTAAAAGTAGTGTTTGTGTACACAACCGTAGTGGGAGACGCAGGATTTTAATATTATATATTATTTCATTGTACATGTGTGTGTAGTGTAGTACCTACATTGCACACAATATAATATAATAAGTTATATATACACGGTGTAACGGTGTTTGTGGGCGCGTGCATTGTGCGCGGCCAGTGTTTACGGGCTTCGACTCGGCCTGTGTGCGTCTTAATGAATAGAGACGGCAGCACGAGTAAAAAAATAAAAATATAAGACCTCACGGGGGACGTGATGGACTGGGGTGCTGGACGAGGAGGGTAAAGCCGAAGCAGCAATCCAACAACCACCTGTACTTAGAATTTATATGACCGCCAAGAGGAATGCTCGAGCCCCGGGCTGCGTTTGCCGACAGTGTATATTTATATATATATATATATTATTTTTTTGTCGCTCCGTGTACCCGATGTACGGTAACCACGGTAACGAGATTATTGTATTGTTATGTTTATCGTTGTTGACCGTTGGCAAACACGGTAATTGAGACTGTGGTCTTCGGACGGTCGGGGAAAAAATACAAATGAAGCGAAATCTAGCCCATTGGCCATGACTGATGCACACCGTCGAGTGGAGGGTGTGGACCGGTGGCGGTTTACTTGTAAAGGTTCCATCATTGGCGTTTTCGAATCTAAGCACACGTTTTATTGTAATATTATGTTTTGGTTGTATGGGAGGTTTTCGAGGCGAACAAGTGGACAAACAAAATAGATTGGGATTAATGTTTCGTTTTAGAAGCTAATTACATTTGGTGGGTTCACCTCGAACCAAAACCGCACGAGTTACGTCCAACGTGCAAGTTCAAACCACCGTCACGGTCCGTGTACATTTAACGTACGTTTCGAATGTAACTTGTTATTACTATTACACGTTATAACATCCAATATCCGCGATTCGTTAAATCATCATTCGGGAAAACCTACAGTCGAGATGTATATTTAAATATTATAATGTTACTATTATACCACTGTCGGTGTAGGAAGTAACCGCGTACTTGGCGTAATTGCCCTTTTTATATGCACGGCGGTTAGACTGCGTTCCCGTGTATTTAGGTAATACTAGATGAGTCATGCGAGAAAAATGGTATTTTTTTTAGTGTACTTTTCGTTTGTGCTCGCGTTTACAACATCCCTGATGCACCGTCGGCCGACGCCTCGGGCATAAACAGTACTATATAATCAACATAAACAACACAATGTTGGTCTTCCATTATTATACGGTGGTTATAATATCATCTCATACCCAATGAGATGCCACGCGAGACCCCACACGTCGTCGACGGGGCAGGATTGTATATATATTATTAGGTATAAAATATTTAGTAGGTGTTTTTTTTTACTATTAGCCAAAACGACAGGTTCGCGAACCCGGTCCTAAAGTGCCATTCTCCGGGATAATATGCCAATGACATGTCCCCAACGTCGAGTCGGTGAGCGGCCGGCCAAGTTCAAGGGCGTTCGGGTACTCCTACGCCCACGCCGTCGTCGTCCCGACTGCAATACTAATACTATGGCTGGAGCTACTATAATACCAGCCAGATTACATTATACACAGCACGGTCCGTACTGTATTATATGCCGACGACGACTTCTAATAATAATTATAATTACATAACGACCGCGGTGAGTCCGGCATTAATCGCTGCTGTGTATAGTATAATAATATGTACACGATATTCGGTCGAGTGTGACTTGTCGATTGGACGGGGCGGAAGATTTAATGGCCAGGAGGAGTCGGTTTCTCGTGTAGTAATTAACGTCCTATTCACTATTATAGGGGTGTACTCTCGCCGGGATATAAGTACTTACTTGTACCTATACACATATTATATACGTATAATCATGTTTTGTATACTTGCATGAAGATATTATATATTATTACGATCGAGTCTCGGATAACATATGTATATATATATATATTTTTCAAGGACTAGATGAAATTCAAAGATAATAACCCGTTGCCGAACTGTCAAGTTCAAATCAGTATAATATAAGTTATATACTATTATACCGTTGGGACGTTTCATCGTGTACAACTTGTGTGTATTATGTTTGTACTTGTTTCTCGCGAGTCCTAACCTATCCTAACGCGCAATATTAGCAGTGTTGCGTTTCGCTGCGACTTATCGTGTGAACCGTTGCCTAATATTTTGTAAAACGATCCGGCCTATATCGATTGACTTTCCGGACCCGCGCAAAATGTGCAGACTGCTCGCCGCGTTACGCCCGAAGGAAATGGAAAGTAAACGTGTGTTCGTACTTATTTTCGTTTCTCGACATCTCGACTCTGAGCAAACCTGTTTCTGTCGCACCGACGTCTTACATTACATCACGGCCGTCTTTTGGATAGCGCTCAAATAATATTACAGTAGTTATAACCGTTTAAAAATAATCCACGGCAGCTCCGAATAGTATGGTACTTACAACTAATAGTTTTATCGCCTATCTCGACGTATTCATAGCCGGCCCGTTATTACGATACTCGTTAATAGTATAATAGTAATACTATATTATAATATAATATGGGCGAGAGATGATATCGATTACCGAACTAGAACAGTAGCGCACACCGAGGAGCTCACACCGCGTCGTGATTATGCGCGTTTAACGAGTCTCATTCACATGGCCGCTATTGTCTGCCTATTTGTTTTTTTTTTTTACTCACACTTGGACAATTACTCGGCTGTTTGCTAATATTGTGTTTCGTTTTATTTTACAGAATATCCGTGATCACGAAGAAAGCAAACTGAATAGAATATATCAACAACAAAAAAAAAAAAACTATCCATTTTCACAGTAAGTATACTAACAATAATACGTCTGCTGTTACCCGCTACTGGGTTACGCCATTGACATGCAAATCCAATGAGTTTTATCCGTCCGAATAAAAAAAAATACTGTTTTTGCACAAAAAGACATTTCGGCCGTTGTTGATTGTATAAACTAGATAGTAAAAGAAAAAATAACGCTGGAGGTACATACATAATAGAATATACCCATCATACTAAGTTCCAAACTAGGTTGAAAAATATATCACTCTTGAGATTGTGCAATAACAGTACATAATACATCTAGAGATTTATTCGGGTAAAATATATTTTTAAACTTAACTTTCATTTCTGGCCGATGAAATTTAAAATAAAATTGTCTGGGGGGAGGGGAGACAGTGGGTCTACATTTAGATTAAATTTGCGCCATACAGGTGTTAAAAACAATTATCAACCGTTGTTTCAGCCGTTATTTAGTCTTAAATTTGTAAAAGCGACGGCAGTCGAATCGTTGTGTCGAGTAATCCTAAAATGTTAATGATTTATCGCGTGCTCGTTATCCGGGGCTTATAACAATATATAATGGGGTCTCGATAGAATTTAGAAGCTTTGCCGGAGTCTCGTGTGGTCAACCACACGGCGGATTAAAGTGTGCGTACAGGGTGCGGGGGAGGAATTATATTATGATTAAATAATAGTGTGTCCATAAAACACACATAATACCTCGGACGGTTTAACGGGACATGTATTAACATACATACGGTATAGCGTTACACACATCATCATCATCATCATCATCGACGGCGGTGTATTCTTTAAATCCGATTAGGTACGACGACTAACCGTGGAATATTAATTTCGACTGTCTCCTGTGTGTCGGTGTTATTGCACCCGAGTTCAACGGACGGTGCGCCTAAACGCGCGGCATTGCCCGAGGGTTAATGAGCAACCGAGGCAGAGGTGGCGGAGGAGGACCACCGGATCACAAACGGGCGGCGGACTCGTCTCATCCCGGCCGGGCGCAGGTGGTAATGGTGCCTCTAAGAAGTTAATGCACACACAAATACACACAAACACACACTCGACCGAGGAGTTGCTCCTGAGCTCCAGAACATATCTGCCCCGTCGCCGTCTATTCACGCACGCCGTAGTCATATCCATTATTATCGTTATTCGTTGTTATTCTCCTTCTCTTTTCTTCATTCCACCGACCGACCGTTGTCTGTATGTATTAGACGCGGCTAGAATACACCCGTGTTCCGAGTACCGCAACGGTTTATTGTCTCGGTATTTTTGATATAACAGTCATTATAACAACTAAAGCCAGAGGCGTCTTGTGGCAGGGACGCCCGATGTCCTATTCGATTTTCTTTTGCTGCGAGGTTAATAAAACATTTTTTTTTTAAATGTATTATAAATTACAACAAATAATTTGAATAATTAAATCGTAACGCGGCATTACGATTTAAAAGAAATTCGAAAAACTCGGAAGTAAGATTAGGCCGACATTTGAAGTATAAAAACTAAAACATTAATTGGAACCGACCCAATGTGAGTTCATGTAAACATATAGTAATAGAAACTTGCTCGTTGCTCGGGCTCGTGCAGTTGACATTTCTTGACCCTAACTCGTCCTGAACACGTGTTTTGTCAGTACTGCCATCACCTCATTATTCCCAACATGTCTGACATGATGTGATATAATCTATCAGTTATATAAGTTTATAGGTGTGTAACATATTATTGTATTCTTGTTTATATAAAAGTCTACAATGTGAACAATATTACACCAATAGGCAATGGTTAGTTCAAAAGCCGTCCGTTATGCAGACACCTATAAATGTAATATATACATAATACCTATTTATGTGCCTAGGTTTTTTTTATTTTTATTATACTACGTTCAAGAGTGGTAGAACAGATTTTTGGTCGTTGAACGTTGAATTCGTGGTATCCTAATTTTTACAATGTACACAATAATTGCACTAAAGTTATTCAACAAAATCATCGACGGTACCGAGTGAAGGTTAGGTTTTAAAATCCAAACAAACGCCGCTCGATAAATGACATTTTCTCCGTGTCTCCTATTCTAACAACAAAGTAGTTTTACAAGGAACACACTCCGGAGTGTATCAAATTGTGTTCATTCTCACGTTTAATAGACATTCGTTTCACATTTGAAGGAGTTTTGAGAAAATAATAGCACCGTTAAGATGTTCAGAACGGACAACAACACGTCCTATGGCGTTGCACAGGTAGGGACATGTGTGTCGCCCGGTAAACCCACACCTGTACAGAATAAGCTGATTGTCGTCGGCAAAGGTTTTTTGTAACGTATTCATCCCTGAAAACCATAACGACCTTTAATGTATTATGTTTTTTATACGAAAAAAAAAGAAAACATTGTTCGAGAACTCCGTGTCGGCCGATAAAGTAAAATTAATTCGTGAACGACAAAACGGAAAAACGTACAAAAATAAAAACGCTGTCTTGATGGCCTCGTTGTCTGGATAGGTCAGGATTATATAAGAGGCAAACTTACAGCTGTCTTTTCGAATTGTGCCAATAGCAATGTGTACATATTATGCAAACTCGGACAGCGTTCAATGAACAGTATAATATGTGTATTAACATGTTAATGTATATTAAATAAATTTAAATACCGTCGTTTTCGTTTCATTGGCATGTATACCCAAACGAGTTATCAGTAAATCAACCGTTGTGCAACGCGCGATGAAATAATCTTAAAATGTGTTATAAGTAAATATGTATATTTGTATGTGCGTAAATTATTATTAAAACAAAATAACGTCCAAGACACACTCGAGCACCGGTCGAGTCGAATTCGCTTGCATATTATTGTGTTTATTTTTTAATTTTCTCTATTACCTATATGGTTTGCTTGTTCTGGCAGGTTCCTTTTTCTAAGCCGCACAGCTTCCGAATTGGATTTAAAATAACTATTTGTTCTCATTACGCCGTACACGTGTTTCACGATTCCTGTGGGAACCGATTATTTAGTCTAATAATAAATAACAGCAATATTTGTACTAGCTATTCATTTTTTTTTTTGTTTTGTCACTTTATAATATTTACCTTTATATAGTGCCGTTAAAAGCGACATGGGAAATTCGTGACCGCACATTTACAAACTGGCTGTTTAACCGGAGGAAGTCCGCACAATAAGCAACGTCGTCGTGTCCCGTAACTTAACTTATACGTGCTTGGGTTGCCTTTTCCGTCGCTCAACGGTTCGTGATTAACCTAAAGAATAATAATATAATATAGTGTGATTTGTATTTGCAATGCAGCACGGATCGCTTGTAACTAAAAATAATTATGGAAATTAATTAACAGCTATCCCCCATCAAATTGATATTACCGTGTATTGCGGAGGTCGGCCAGAGAAAGCATCGAGGAGTACTGTATCGATAACAGCTAAAGTGGCAATTTTTTTTAACAATTTGCAATTTGCATTTACTGCTGTATTCAAGTCAGCCGCCGTTGTCGCCGACAGTTAACTACACGGCTCAGCGTTTTGTATTAATTTTTTTGCTGTTATGACTTGGTCGTAGACGGTTGTTTGTTTTGAAATATGCGGTATCAAGTATGAGTGTTTTATATTTAATTCAATACACTCAATATGAATGCTTCAAACTAAAAGATATGACAATTTATTTTATTGCATTTGATTCAAAAGTTATATATTTTAGACATTTTTTCAACGATTGATTATATACTAGCAACACAGCGTAATAACCTAACCCGGTAATGATCCATAAAAAATTGAAACTTGATTCCTTTATCTATAATTTTTCTACACGATACCAAATTTAGTATCTGGAACTTATCTAGAACAGCCGTACAACTCCATTTGACGATACTCTGACGGCGGCTGTGACCTAGTGAGTTCACTTGCACTTTAAACGGTCAACACCGGTCATTATGTGTATATCGTATATATGTTTTATACCCAATGTTATATTTTCAAACATCCGTAACCGGTCTGTCACACGCGTGCATGCACACAAACACAACCGGGTGGACAGGGGAAATCATTTTTCTCGTTCGGGTTACGCAACTTAGGAATGTGCAACATAATAATAACAACAAAAACATTAAAATGTGTGTGCGGATCGCGTGGCAAAAACATTTTTTTGAGCCTCATAGATGATATAGAAACACTACTAATACAATGGATACAATTGCAGTTGTGTGACTCGAGTCTAGAACCGTTGTCAACGTCGCAGGCTATCGTCGTTGTGCTTGAATAAGGCATGGAAGTTAATAGTATAGGTAAAACTAGTATTATAACTTTTAGTCGTTAAAAACGTTCTGAGAAAACGGGTTGAAACGTGCCGCGTCCGTTTTATAGGGTTGTCGGCAACGACGGTTAGGATTTCTTACTTTTTGAATGGCAACGTTTGCCGAAGGTCGACGGGTTTCCTCGGACAATAACAAGCAAATTACTTTCGTTATGTATTTTATTTTCTTCTCGTTCTTAATATTTATTATTACAAATACCGACGACGTAACGTTTGGCATGAGTTTGTAACAATCGGTTGACGTTTTTTTTTTTTGCCTTTTTTGCCATTTAGTATACTCGCGTAGGTGCAAAACTAGTTTTTCGTTTTGTCTTACCGTCTGGCACTTGGCCAGCGTCGGTCGCACTAAACGATTTTTTTCGATTTGAAAGTGACAATACCTATTGGCGTTTGAACGTCGCCGTTTGGGTCGCCGCTGCTATATATGTATACAGGGTGATTTATTGACTGAGCGAATATACAGTCAAACTCTGGCTCGTATATAAATATGAATAGTTTATCGAACACACTATACAACTAAAAAAACACTGCGACCACCGGCAAAAACAAAATTCACTTTTATGTGGGTGTCAAGGGCATCGATCTTAGCGCGTTGGATTCCGGATTTAAAACCACTCCTTCTTCTTAAAACCGCTAAAAAAAACTTCTTGCATAATCTTTTTTTTTTTTGGTTTTAACTCAAGTCAACAACTATATTCGTCAT